AGTGAGTGAGTGAGTGAGTGAGTGGGTGATTGAGTGAGAGTGTGAGTGAGTGAGTGAGCGAGTGAGTGAGTGAGTGAGTGAGTGAGAGTGTGTGTGAGTGAGCGAGCGAGCGTGTGAGTGAGTGAGGGTGCGAGCGAGAGTGCGAGAGTGCGAGCGAGTGTGCGAGCGAGTGTGCGAGTGAGAGTGCGAGTGAGTGAGTGAGTGAGTGAGTGAGTGGGTGGGTGAGTGAGTGAGTGAGTGTGCGAGCGAGAGTGCGAGCGAGTGTGCGAGTGAGAGAGCGAGTGAGTGACTGAGTGAGTGTGAGTGTGAGTGTGAGTGAGTGAGTGAGTGAGTGAGTGTGCGAGCGAGAGTGCGAGCGAGTGTGCGAGCGAGTGTGCGAGTGAGAGTGCGAGTGAGTGAGTGAGTGAGTGAGTGAGTGAGTGTGCGAGCGAGAGTGCGAGCGAGTGTGCGAGCGAGTGTGCGAGTGAGAGTGCGAGTGAGTGAGTGAGTGAGTGAGTGAGTGAGTGCGAGCGAGAGTGCGAGCGAGTGTGCGAGCGAGTGTGCGAGTGAGAGTGCGAGTGAGTGAGTGTGTGTGTGTGTGTGTGTTAGCTTCCCTATGCAAGTGGTGCTGCTCTGCATGAAGTGTGAATGAGTGAATGACTCGTAGTATGTAAAGCTTTGAGGGGTCGAACAGACCCGATAAAGAGATTTATAAATACAGAACATTTACCATTTACTGATATGATGATGTACATACGGTGAGATATAGAGAGGTCTGTACGAAACACATCTGTTTTATAAATCTGAATATGATTTATAGGTCAGATATCTCCGCAGCTTCTCCTTCAGAACGTATTTTACACATATTCTGCTTCCTGAGATTTGAATATTGCACCTGTTGATAAAATGTGGATCATTAGTGCAGCTTTAGTTCAGCTGACACATACTCACAGAGCTCCAAATGTAGATTAATCCGCCGCTGAAAGTAGTCCCTAACCAATGCATTGTTGTTGGATTAAAAAACCACTTAGCAGGGTGTTTGAGTCTTCTTACGTCTTTGAGAAATGATGGACATGTTGTTTTGTGTATTTAAAGATTATGTATGGAGGTGTTGATCTTTAAGTCACTGCAGCTTCATTTAAAATTCATTAAAAATACATATGTGTTGATGCTCTTCTCACTCCTCACGTTTAACCCCGACGTGGTTCTGGAGGTGAATCTGAACCCTCTGTGAATTTCCTGCGCTTGTTGACTGAGGGTCGGAGAGGTCTGTAGTTTTCCACGGAGCCGTAAAAGACGAGCGGAGAAACCGGAGAATCCTCTGAAGTCTCATCAGTTAAATCCCCGTGGCTTTGTGTGTGTGCACAGATTACAGAAGCTAGCATGCTTTGTAACTCACAGTCCTCCTCCTGAAAGTGTTTATTTAGTTGGTTTTTGATGTTAACATAGTGTTCAGTTAACCTACAGTGTGACAGGTCTCATTCCCCCTCTTATCGCTGACAGGATTTTAGGTTTCAAACGCTGCTTTGATTTCTCCTGATAGGAGCTAAGTGTTATATCTACAGATGTAATCTAGATATTTCAACCAAAAACTGAAAATACATTCGAAACAAACCAATTTAAATTAAATTCGTAATTAAAAAATACAAGAAAATTTTTGAAAGATATGATCCTGATAGATCTGAATATTGATTGTTGTTGGCAGCAGTGAACATGTGAGTTTGAGAGAGGGTAGAAAAATACTGAATTTAATAAACAAAGCTAAATGTGTTATTATTCTAAGATGAAAACAATCATTACTGGAAGCTGTGATTAAAAACCTCTGCAATAAAAACCCTGAATTTAATTTATTTATCTATTTTTAATTTATTTAAGTAATGTATTTATTTTCTTATTTTCTTAATTATTTAATTTATTCCCTCTGGAGCATCTCTGCACTCTGCCTCCTCCCAGCTCTGGTTCTTCTCCATCAGCCTTTTCAAAGCGGCCGCCCCTCCTCCATCGTGTGTGTGTGTGTGTGTGTGTGTGTGTGTGTGTGTGTGTGTGTGTGTGTGTGTGTGTGTGTGTGTGTGTGTGTGTGTGTGTGTGTGTGTGTGTGTGTGTGTGTGTGTGTGTGTGTGTGTGTGTGTGTGTGTGTGTGAGTGTGTTATATTAGCTGTGTAATCGTTAATAGATTCAGTCCTATATCACTGTGCACACACCAACATATGCACACACACGCACTCACAAAGCCTGGCTCTCCGCCTCCTCTTTTCAAACATCCCTCTCTCATTGTTTCCCCCCTTCCCTCTGAGAGAGTGTGTGTGTGTTCTCTCATGTGTGTGTGTGTGTGTGTGTGTGTGTGTGTGTGTGTGTGTGTGTGTGTGTGTGTGTCCTCTCATGTGTGTGTCCTCTCCTGTGTGTGTGTGTGTGTGTCAATGCGTCGCGATGCGTTTGCCGGCGCTGAACAGGTGTGTGTTCAGTCCTCCGGAGCTCCACACACAGAGGGGCTCTCGCGCTCACACGTACCCAGGATTTAGCTTCACATCTGGGGCAGCAGGACCCTGAGCGCCCCCCCTCCTCCTCTGGAGATGATCCAGCGAGGAACGCAGAGAGGTGTAGCCCAGCGGAGGACACTGATGCTGGGGTAGATCTGCTGCCGATCAGCCTGTTGTACCTCCACTCTTCTCCAGTGAGTATCCCTGACGCCAGGGTGTTAACATCTGCAGGAACAGCATGCATTCATTTAGTCGCATTTCCACCGCTTTGAAGCAACTTTTGCGCCTCAGTTTGGATCGGGAACATTTTTTTTTTATGTAAGGATTTGGTGCATAATATCAACATAATGAGAGGAAGTGGAATGAAAGAAAAACGAGAAAGCAAAGTAAAATGACCACAAAATGCATAAAGATATTCTAAATATATGTGAATTAAAATAAAAAATGTGTTGACAAAAAAACGAAATGAATAAATTAAAAATACTATAAAATGATATATCTGAATTTAAAGGACTATTTTATAGAAAGAATATGAAATAAGAATATAAAAATGTTTATATATAAAACATTAAGACCATTAATTAAATAAGATATATTAAAAAAGAATGAATAAAATAAAATCATTATATAAACATTATAATATCCAAATGATTTATAATACTTGCAGCACACACACACACACACACACACACACACACACACACACACACACACACACACACACACACACACACACACACACACACACACACACACAGTAAGGATATATCAGTCAACTCTGCAGCAGCATTTTATAAATATGTTGAATTGGTGGTTCTGGAGCACTGAGATCCAGCTCAGCCACGTTTCTTCTTCATGGTGTTCTGCTGCAGTGAGCGCCTCCGCTGCAGAACACATTTATTCAAAGTGTCTCTGAGGGTGGACATCTCTGAGACTTGTTGGATTTCATCGTGCAGTTTTGTTTGCAGTTTTGAGCAGCTCCGACAGGTGTCTGTGGAGCTGCTCTGGGATCAGTTTGACGCTGGGACTTGTTTGGTCTTCCTCTCAGAGAGCAGAGTAGATGGAGTGAACACAGTTGGTGTAAATGCTGTTTTCCAAGCAGCGTTGGGTAGAGTGAGTTATCGTGACGATGCTCTGAAGTGTGTGTGAGAAACACGACGGAGCAGACGGAGGATCTCTCAGATTTTCTGCAGAGAGAAGGAGACTCTAAACGAGACGAGGGAGGTGTGGGAACTTTCTGAGAAACCTCCTTCTGTTTCCTCTACTCACCTGGACACACCTGTGGAGGACTCATGTCTGTGTGTGTGTGTGTGTGTGTGTGTGTGTGTGTGTGTGTGTGTGTGTGTGTGTGTGTGTGTGTGTGTGTGTGTGTGTGTGTGTGTGTGTGTGTGTCAGGTCTGACAGCAGGGCGTCTCGTTTGGCTCGGCGGTGGAACCGTTCTGCGGCCGATGCTCTGATCCTGAAGCCGCTGTTCTACACGGGAACCTCCCGATCCTCACTCAGCCTGGACAGGTACACACACACACACACACACACACACACACACACACACACCTGTTGCACACCTGTTTAGTGTTGCTATGTGGGGAAAAAGGAATGATAACGTGCAAAATGTCTCCGATTTTACCTCAATTTCAGGGTGAAAACAACATTTGTTTTCACCTCTGCATCTCTTCACTGGTATGCTGTGTTTACTTTTAATAAACCTGATATTTTAAACTGGTTTGTTTTGGATGCATTCAGCAGTAACTGAACTGAAGCTGGAGCTCTGATTCCACCATGTGCAGGTTTTAATTTGATATTGATTTAAACAGGACAATGTCAATTAATCTAATTAAAGTTAACTTTTAAAGGGTTTTTAGAGTTAAAGGTCACATGACCATTTCTACTGATCATAGTTCCATTGTTGAGGTCTACTAGAATAGATGTACATTGTTCAATGTTCCAAACTCACATTGGTTTCTCATACAGCATCTCTGTATAGTCTGTGTATTCACTCTCTGTCCTACACGCCTTGTTGGAGCTCCTGCCCCCAATGGCGTTTGTTAGCAACCAGGAAATGACACCAGTAATGACAAACAGATGAGAATGCTGCGTGGGGTCTGGGGGCCGTGTTGGTGGGACGTTGGGGGGCTCGCTTTGAGGCCCCCTTTGAGGCTCGAGGAGCGGACAGTGTGAGCTGGATTACTGGTGTTGTTTCCTGGTTGCTGCGTGGGGTCTGCGAGACAGTGAGACACGGCGAAACTCAGCCTGAACTCACCCTGAGCACCATGGACGCAGGAAGGGGGGGGTGCTGAGGGGGCTGCAGCACCCCCATCTGCGAGGCTCCACTAGCACCCCCCCCCCCGCATCCCCAAACGCGGCGCACCTACAGTGTAAGCGCGCCACATTTTCGCGGCTGCGAGTGTGTGAGGAGCTCCACGGATTGGTCCATTTGCATTTTATTTGTTCACAAACTCATGAAATTAAAAAACAACAGAAAAAAAACTGCTTCTTTAAAAGAAAAAAAATCAAAAAAGTTATTTAATATTTTTTTTAAACTAC